CGGGGTCGGGGTCGGGGCCGCGGCAGGGGCGCTCGTGGAGGCAAAGCCGAGGACAAAGAGGTAGGGCCGGGTCGCGGGCGCGAGCTGGGCCTCGGGGCGGCACGAGAGGGCCGGCCTGGTCACTCGCGCCCCTTCCCCGCAGTGGATCCCGGTCACCAAGCTGGGCCGCCTGGTCAAGGACATGAAGATCAAGTCGCTGGAGGAGATCTATCTCTTCTCCTTGCCCATCAAGGTGCTGCGGGGACCCTTCCCGGGGAGGAGCGTCTCCCGGGGTCTGGGCAGAGGCGCGTCCGGCGGGGCGGGCGGGGAGGTTTGCCATCCCGCGTTGGGCCCCAGTTTTGAGATGGCCTCGGGTACCCCATCTGACTGGGCTGTGGACCCCCGCGCATCGCCCTGGGGCACTGCTCAAGCACCCCGCACGCTTCCCCGCAGGAATCTGAGATCATTGACTTCTTCCTGGGGCCATCCCTCAAGGACGAGGTCCTGAAGATCATGCCGGTGCAGAAGCAGACCCGGGCCGGGCAGCGCACCAGGTTCAAGGTGGGTGGGCTGGGACCCCCGGCTGGCCACCCGGCTGGGGAGACTCTCTCAGCTCTGCATGGTCACATCTGCCTCTACACGTGTGGCTTTCGTAATGGGGAGAGAGAGCAAGGACCTTCTCGGGGCCTCGGGCTGGCCTCTCAGTGGCCACGCTCACCTTGAGGGGTGCAACATGTCCTGGGCAGGAGTGGCCAACACTGAAGTTCAGGGGACCACTGTTCACTTAAGTCCTTTCTCAGGCGTTTGTGGCCATTGGGGACTACAATGGACACGTGGGGCTGGGCGTGAAGTGCTCCAAGGAGGTAGCCACCGCTATCCGCGGGGCCATCATCCTGGCCAAGCTCTCCATCGTGCCCGTGCGCCGAGGCTATTGGGGGAACAAGATCGGCAAACCACACACTGTCCCTTGCAAGGTAGGCTGGGTGATGCTGGGGGCAAGGCCTGGGTGGAGAGCTGGTCCAGGCCCCTGACTCTTGCCCGTGCAGGTGACCGGCCGCTGTGGCTCAGTGCTGGTGCGCCTCATCCCCGCGCCTAGGGGCACTGGCATCGTCTCCGCCCCGGTTCCCAAGAAGCTGCTGATGATGGCTGGTATCGACGACTGCTACACCTCGGCCAGGGGCTGCACTGCCACCCTGGGCAACTTTGGTTAGTGGTGCCCGTAGTCAGGCCTGCTTGGTGGGCTCTCACTCTGGCCATGGGCAGCAGTATGACCGTTCCCCGCTCTCCCTTCCAGCCAAGGCCACCTTCGACGCCATCTCCAAGACCTACAGCTATCTCACCCCCGACCTCTGGAAGGAGACCGTGTTCACTAAGTCTCCTTATCAGGTAGGGCTGCCCTGCAGTCTGGGCAAGGGCACTGGGTGCAGGGCTGGGCTCACACCCACCTGCTGTCTCTGCAGGAATTCACGGACCACCTGGTGAAGACCCACACAAGAGTCTCCGTGCAGAGGACCCAGGCTCCAGCCGTGGCGACCACATAGTTTGGTAACAGGAAATAAAGTGGACTACGCCTGTGCGTGTGGCTGTTTATTTTATTCATCAGGGAGGGCAGACCGCACTGGGACCCGCAGTTTCAGCCCAAGGAGCGCCCTGCAACGCCTCAGGCAGCAGCAGCCTCCTTGGCAGCCTTTCTCTCTGCCAGCATCCTTTGTTTCTGTTTCGCCAGGCACTTCCTGGCAGAGTAGTGGGCGCCCAGGTCGTGATCTGGGGAAGAGATGGAAAGAGTCACGTGGGATCCCAGGCACTAAGCTGGCCCAGAGCAGAGCCCACCATGGCATAGGGACTGTTAGCAGGTGGGCCTGCAGTCAGGGGTCACTCACAGCGGTCCTGGTAGGCCTTGGCCACCTGGGTGAACTGCTCCAGCTCCTTGGCACAGTTCTGCCGGTAGCTTTCACCTTCCCGCTGCTGGCAGGCCTTCATCCTCTCCTGGATGATGTTAACGATTTCTTGGTCGACTTTGCTGAAAGAGAACATAAAGTTGTCCTGCAAGGTGCCCACCTTGGGTCCAGGAAGCTCAGTGTGAAAGCAGGAGCTAGGAGGCCAGGTCCCTCACTAGCCTGACCCCCACCCCGAGAGTTCTGGGCACCAAGGGCAAGGAGGTTCACATACTAGTCCCGTCTCCACTGCATCTCGGCTTCGAATATGCACAGGACGTCCTTCTCCTCACACTCAGTGATGTCCGGCACGCGGCGGAACTGCCGGTGGTAGTAGTAATACCTGTTCTTGGCGTGCTGCTGTTCTATGAACTCTGCAGAGGGAGAGCCGGGGTGCCCACTGCCCGGGTGGCTTGGCCATGCGGGAGGCCTACTGGCAATTGGACCCTCAAAGAGGTGTGTGTGAGCGGAGCCCTGCCAGACTGCAGGGTCCCCACACCAGCCTGGCTCTGCTCCTGCCCACAAGCACCCTGTGGGGCAGCAGCTTCACATTTACAAAAGACTGCAGCCCAGGTGGTTGGGCAGGGCTCCAGACCGCGCTGGGGGGCGCTCCACCCCTCGGTGCCCGAGCATGCTGGCAACAGCACTTTCTGAGAAAATGTCACCCTGGGGCCGTGGTCTGAGTTGGGTCCCCAGCCAGGGAGTGGCCCACAGGGCACCCCTCCTGTCTCCCCCTCAGCAGTGGGTCTCACTGGATCCACCTGTTTTGGTCCCCACTCTTTGCTGAGTCCTCTCACCCCTGCACCTCTGGCCTGCACCCCGGTCCTATGCATAAATAAAGTATTTTTAAAAGGAGATCGGGGGTGGCTGCAGACCGGTGCATCGAGTGGAGAAACCCCACAGTGGCAAACACTTCAGGATGTGAGAAAACAGACTTCACCTAGGAGGCCTGCTGGGCCTTCCCGGACCACGGCCACGGCGGCTGGCAGGCCCGCTGCATACCCCCTGACAAGAGCCCCCCGAGAACGCTCTGCACCCCGAGTGCCCCGCGGTTGTGAGTTCCGCACCAGGGACAGCCGCGCGGGCTCGCGTGCGGGGTGCACCAGGCTCAGCCTCGGCAACAAACGGACCGGAGAAGGGCCCCCCCCACCCCCCAGTCAGCTCCCGGAAGTGGGGCCACAGGGCAACGGCAGCGCCCCCAGCATGAGAGGGCGTCGGCCACCACCCCATGCCTGAGGGCAGACGGGTTCGGGGATCCCCTCATTTCAACACAAGCGTGCTGGTGCCCCTGTGCACACGCAGACGCTAGCGCAGGGAGACGGCTCCCAGCGGGGGCGCAGGGGGCGCAATCACCCCAAAGGCCCCCGGCCCGACAGCGGCGGTGCGCGGGCCGTCCCCAGGCGGGCGGGCCGTCCCCAGGCGGGCGCCCCGTGGGAGGGGAAGCGGGGTGCCCGGCGGGGCGGGGGTCCCGGGCAGTGAGTGGCGAGCCGGGGCGGAGGCCGGTACCTCTCACCAGGGTCACGGGCCGGTCCACGAGGAGGTCGAAGGCCTTGGTCAAGTAGGTGATGGGGTTGGGCAGCGCGGTCTGCGGCGAGGGCGCCGGCGTGCGGCGCGGGGGCTCGGGGTACACGTCCTTATCCCAGCTGTCCGGCATGGCTGCGCGCGCGGCGGGCTCGGCGCTCCGACGCGCTGCGGCCTCCGCCGGCGTCCCACGGCCTAGCTCGCCCGCGCAGAGGACGCCCTCAGGCCAGCGCGCCTGCGCACCGCGGCCGGGCAGCGGGGCCGCCCCCAGGCCTGTGCGCTTGCGCAGAGCCACCGCGAGGCACCATGGGGCTTGTAGTCCCTTGCCGCGTCCAAGCGTGGGCTGGGTGAACACCCGGCCGCAGGGCCCTCGCCGCAGGGCCGGTCTACGGAGCGGTTACCGTGGGCTGCGCGACCATGTGGCGCCTGGGATGCCGCAGTCCAGGAGCAGCGAGCTCTGCTTACATCCCAAGAGGAGACGCACAGGAATAACGGAACAATTCCTACCATTCCTACCGCATGCAGACAGACAAGTTCCGTGGGGACCAAGATGAACACAGCCCGGCGCTTCTGGAAAATCCGGATGGTGGAGTGAACCAGTGGCAGTGTCAAGTGCCACACTCTTCCAGGAAGCCCCTGGGTTGCCCAGCCCTGCAGTCCTCTCCCTCCTCCCCGGTGCCTCCCCAGGTCCTCATTGACTGGCCGTTGCTGCCAGTGAGTTTGGGGTCTCGCCTGGGACACAGCAGGAGGCTGGGAAGGTGGGGTGACACATCCGGAGAGGCAGCTCCTGGTCTGCACCCCTTTCTGAGGGTTTCACCCTGGCCTGAGCCCTGGAGTGTCCAGAGGAGCCACTCTACACTGGCCAGAGACAGGAAAAACAGCCAGGGCTACTGCCCCCAGAGAGGCCCTGAAGCCCCGTCACTCCCTGGTGACAGCGGTCTTTGGTTCTGATGAGGCTCCTGGGCGGGGCAGGCTGGGGAAGACCTCACCGCGAGGCTGGGGAGCTGGGGGCTCGGTTAGACCCCCCTTACCTGTGGGAGAAGGGGGGGATAGAGGATCGACCCACCTACATGAGGAAACCTCCCTAAAAGGCCCCACAGTGAGGGGCTCCCACGTTGGCGAACCTGCCGGACTTGGGGGCAAAGCACCCGCTTCCACGGGACAGCGGCTTCCGCCCAAGACCCTCCCAGATCGGGGCTGGCCCTCCACCTCTGGCCCTTGCCCCACGCAGTGGGGAACCTGCTGCTGCAGCTGGCGTCTGTAGTGGGGGGCCCGGACCTGAGCAACCCTGACCCTGTACAGGGGCGGCCGTCTCCAGGCCCATGGCTCAGAACTGAGTGGTCCTGTGCTCAGCTGCAGTCCGCACAGCATGGGGTGAGCTGCGCTCCGGGATGTGCTGGGTGCTCTTGGTGCTGGGGACAGAGGGGACAGCGCACTCGGCCTGCTGGGAGGCCTCGACCTGTGTCGGCACAGCCCCAGCTCAGCCGCCTGCCCCCGCCCCGGCCCCGGCCCCTGCCTGCCTGCCCTTCAGGGCCGCTGGCCCCCAGTGGGGGCAGGCTCACCCCTCCCCCCGGTGACCTTAGTTCTTGTGGGGTTTTCACCCCAACTGAATGGCTTTGAAAATAAAGACAGGAACATTGGAGCAGCAGGGGACTGAGCACTCAGGGAGGCAAAACTCGGATCTGTCGGTGAGACCTCAGCTGTGAAGGGTCGTTGAGTCAAAGTGGGGATTGAAACCTTTTCATTCAGAACTTAGGCTGCAGGTCACACTCTTCTGCGAATTGGCGTGTCCTTGGGTCACAACGCTAGGGGGCAGGGGCCCTCGTGACCCTCTGGACATGGAGCCATCAGCTGTGCCTAAAGCCTCGGACAGACCCAGCCTGCCGCCCCAGCTGGCAGATGCCTGGCACCGGGAGCTGCCCCTGCCCGGCAGGACCCGGCCCCATGAGCAGCGAGACCGGGGGCTGTGGCCCAGTGTGGGGCCACCACGGGCGCCTCCGCCAGGCTCAGGCTGTGTCCCGCCCCGCCTGGCCCTGGCTTGGGGCTGGTGCCAGAGCCGCATCTGTGGCAGGCGATGACCGGGCTCCCCTGCCAGGGCTAAATCTGGGATCTGGCTGTTGCGTCCTGGCGCTGCCACTTGACCTCCAGTGCCCAGAGGGGACACCCCCTCCTTCCCCACCTGCAGGGACCGGACCAGCTGCCATGGTCAGTGGGTGGGGGCCGTGGCGTCCCCGGAGGGTGGGTGGGCTTCGGGGGCCCCCATCAGGCTGGTTCCTGGACTGCGAGGGGGGAGGTAAGCAGAGGAGGCGCAAGTAGGTCAGGGAGGGGCCCGGGCCGCCTGGCGAGGCCAGACGTCCGCAGCAGCCTCAGCCCGGCTCAGCGTGGTCCAGCCCCTGCCCACAGGCCAGCCCACGGGGTAGTCGCTGGGGTGAGGGGTGCGGCACCGGTTCCCTCCCTAGGCCCTGTCCCTTGGCAGCCACCCCCACCCCGCAATCGGATGGGGGCCGGGGACTAAGACCCGGGGGCCTGGGCCTGGCCTCTCCGGCTCCCGCGTCTGGGTCTGGGTTCTGGGAGCATCCCGCCGCCCCCCAGGGAGACCCTGGGAGACCCTCTGACCAGCTGCCCTCTTGCCCCCAGTCCCACCGCAAGTTCTCTGCCCCTCGGCATGGACACCTGGGCTTCTTGCCCCACAAGCGGAGTCGCCGGCACCGGGGCAAGGTGAAGACATGGCCGAGGGACGACCCCAGCCGGCCGGTGCACCTCACGGCCTTCCTGGGCTACAAGGCCGGCATGACCCACACGCTGCGGGAGGTGCACCGGCCTGGGCTCAGTGAGTGCCCGCGGGGCGCGGGGGCGGGCTCTGCTGGCCTGGAGGGACACCGCCGAAGGGTGGCCCTGCCCGCCCGCACGCACGCACCGGCCGCACCTCCAGGTGTCTGCCCCTGGCTCCGAGGGGGAAACCGAGGCACCGGGCGGGAAGGCGGGTCCCCCGGCGTCCCCGGTGGTGCAGCCCTGTGGGCAGGCCCTGCGTGCTCCCCGGTGCATGTCCAGCGCTGCCCGCTGCACACGGCGGCTCGCTCAGGGCCTCGGGCTCCTGCCCCACGGCACCCTTCCCTCTGGCACCCCGGCTTCCCACCCCTGGTCTCGGCCTGACTCGTGACGGGACCCCAGATGGAGCTGCCACGGGCAGGGCCTCAGAGTGCGGGGCGCACCCTCCTCTGCCAGCCCGCTCTCTCAGCCAAGCCGGCGGGAGCGCCGGCAGGACAGCGTGGAGCCAGCGCCCCGTGCCATCTTCCCAGCCCAACTCTCTGCTGACCCAGCAGCACCCTGGGGTCGAAGGGGCACCCCGCTGCCCGCAGAGTCCCAGCCACAGGCCGTGGGATCTGGAGCGGCTACTGGCTTTCGAGAACGCGTCCGTCCACGTCCGCACCTGCTAAATGAAGAGCGCACTTCTGTGTTCGGCTAAGGGAGGCCCAGCCTGCTCTGGGCCACGCCCCACCTGGAGGCTCTGCTGGGCGCCGGGCAGGGCAGCGCGGGCCGCCTGAGGGCCCAGTCACAGCTGCTGGCCTCTGCAGGTCCCCAGGGCAGGGCGGGCAGCAGGCCTCAGGCCTCCCTCCGCAGCAGAGCCCCGGGCCTGGGGAAGGCGGCCGGACTTGGCTCTCCCGCTCTGCCCCCTACCCCGCGGGCCTCTGGAGACCCCGCCACGCCCCTGTCTCCCCAGAGATTTCCAAGCGGGAGGAGGTGGAGGCGGTGACGGTCGTGGAGACGCCGCCTCTGGTGGTGGTGGGTGTGGTGGGCTACGTGGCCACCCCTCGCGGCCTGCGCAGCTTCAAGACCGTGTTTGCAGAGCACCTCAGTGATGAGTGCCGCCGTCGCTTCTACCGGGACTGGTGAGGCTGTGGGGCGGGTGCCGTGGGCACCACAGGGCTGGGCAGGCGCCTAACTCTCAGGCCTGGGCTGAGTGGGGAAGGAAGGGGGCAGAGGACGCGCAGCTGTGGGCCGCAGGGAAGTGCAGGTGGGGGCTCTCCCTTCACCCAGAGGAGCCCTGGAGCGGGGAGCTGAAGAGGGAGCTGCCGGGAGGGAAAGGAGGATGCGTGCGCTCATCTCAGAGCTAACCGCAGCGGGAACTGCCAGGATTTCAGCCGGCTGTGTGCTTCCTAGTGGTCGGGGTGAAAGGGGAATCACAAAGAAAGGTATCCTCAGGTCTCAGCTCTCCCTTGATGTGAAGGGAGAGGTCTAAAAGGAGGACCCACCTGCCTGGGGAGCTCACATATGCCCCCCTCATGCCCCTCCCTCCTTCCAGGGAGGCGCTGAGAGCCGGCTCTGGAGCCACAGCAGGCTGACCACAGGGCGGCCCCTTGGAGCCAGGCATCACCCTCCCCCAGACGCCTCCAAATGGGGCTGCTGTGGGGCCGCGAGGGCGCAGCCAGTTCTGCTGCAGTGGGGCGCAGCACCCCCTGGCTCTGGCCAGAGCCCGCTGTGCACCAGGGCTTGCAGCTGGGCTTCATGGGGCTGTGGCGGGGAGGTGCCCCGTTGGCAGAGGATGACACTGAGCCTGCCGGTGGAGGCCAATCTGTGTGGGAAGAGGTGCTGGACTGCCCGGGGCCCAGGGAGGGCCTCGCGGTGCTGCCCCCAGGGAGGAGAGCGGGAGGAGACCCAGGCTGGGTGGGTGGGGCGGGCCAGGCTGCAGTCCACCGGCCACTCTGAGGCCCAGGTGTGGTGCAGGCACAGGAGCAAGAAGAAGGCCTTCACCAAGGCCTGCAGGCGGTGGCGCGACGCTGACGGCAAGAAGCAGCTTCAGAGGGACTTCGCCGCCATGAAGAAGTACTGCAAGGTCATTCGGGTCATCGTCCACACCCAGGTCAGCCCAGCCGGCCCGCCTGCCCCTGTCCTGGTACTCCTGGCAAATGTCAGTCTAAAAATACCTCGGGCCTTGGCGCAGGCCCGAATGGCCGGCCGACTTCGAGCAGGCATCTGCAACCCCATGAATAGCCGCAGGCCCAGCCCCACCCAGGGGTCAGCCAGCTGTTCACGCAGGGCCTAGGTCTTCTGATACAAGTGTGTGCAAGTGTGTGTTGTTGACTCAAATCAATGGTGCGAGAAGAATCAGGACCCAGGACCCGGCCAGGGGCAGCCTCGAGGTCCGCGGAGTCCTGCCCAGTGTGGAGGCCGGCAGTGGCCATCGGCCATCAGCGTTTTCCAGGCTCTTACAGAGAAAGCAGGCGAAGAAGTCTGGCCCTCTGCGCGCCAGGCCCCGCCCCTTGCTCCAGGCCGGCCCCTCCGTGCCAGGCCCCGCCCCTCCGTGCCAGGCCCCGCCCCTCCGCGCCAGGCCTGCCCCCCCCGCGCCAGGCCTGCCCCTCCGCGCCAGGCCCCGCCCCTTGCTCCAGGCCGGCCCCTCCGTGCCAGGCCCCGCCCCTCACTCTAGGCCCCGCCCCTCCGCGCCAGGCCCCGCCCCTCCACGCCAGGCCGGCCCCTCCAGCGGCCCCAGCACTGCTCTGCTCCCTGCTCCCAGTCACACTGCTCTTTCTGCCCCCTCCCGGCTCCCCGCCTCAGGGCCTTTGCACTGTGCTCCCAGGCATCACGCGTGGCTGTGCCTTCACCTCACACTGCACCTGGACAGCAGGTCACTGCAGGGTTTCTTGCTGACTTCCGCCCCCCACGGGTGGCTCCACGTGGGCGGGGCCGTGTCCCCGCAGGGCCCGCAGGCCAGCGTGAGAGCGCACGCCCGCAGCGCTCGGCTGGTCACCACGCCTGCGCGTGGAGCGAGGTGGCACGGGTGACCCTGGGCTTCGTGTCCTGCAGATGAAGCTGCTGCCCTTCCGGCAGAAGAAGGCCCATATCATGGAGATCCAGCTCAACGGCGGCACCGTGGCCGAGAAGGTGGCCTGGGCACGGGCGCGGCTGGAGCAGCAGGTGCCCGTGCACAGCGTGTTCAGCCAGAGCGAGGTCATCGACGTCATTGCCGTCACCAAGGGCAGGGGCGTCAAAGGTAGGGCCTGGGGACCCCGGAGGGGGGCGGGACCTAGTGGCCTCTCAGACCTGCGTCCTGCCTGCAGGGGTCACCAGCCGCTGGCACACCAAGAAGCTGCCTCGGAAGACCCACAAGGGGCTGCGCAAGGTGGCCTGCATCGGGGCCTGGCACCCCGCCCGTGTGGGTTGCTCCATCGCCCGGGCAGGGCAGAAGGGCTACCACCACCGGACCGAGCTCAACAAGAAGGTGAGCCGCAGCCTGGGCGGCCCTGCACACCGCCGGGCAGGCCTGGCCCCCAAGCCTCTGGAAGGCGTGGGTATGGTTACGGGCATGGCGGGTGGTCAGGCCCCAGGATGCGCTGTGTCCTGCAGATCTACCGCATCGGCCGGGGGCTGCACGTGCAGGACGGGAGGGTGGTCAAGAACAACGCGGCCACCAGCTACGACATCACAGACAAGTCTATTACGCCACTGGTGAGGGGCTGGCCGCGGGGTGTGTGGCAGGCAGGGGTGCGCTTGAAACGCAGGCTGGGCAAGTGGCCATCCACAGGGCAGCTCCGTGGTCCCACCGGGGGGTGCGGCACCCCAGGCCGGGCGCGGGCTGCGGCACCTGGTGGCTGGCGCATGGGGTTGCCTCTGGGTGCCCAGCTGCCCCTGACTGGGCAGTCCTGGCGCGGTCCAGCCCTGACCCGGCTCCCCTCAGGGCGGTTTCCCCCACTACGGGGAAGTGAACAATGACTTCGTCATGCTGAAGGGCTGCATCGCCGGCACCAAGAAGCGGGTCATCACACTGCGGAAGGTCAGCATGGGCTGGGAGGGGCTGTCCTGTCCTCCACGGGCTCTGGGGGGTGGAGATGGGAAGGGGGGCTCTGGCAGGAGTGGAGTGCTGGGGGCACCCTCTGCCGGCCCCCTCCCACGCCCCTCTCCCCCCAGTCCCTCCTGGTGCACCACAGCCGCAGGGCCCTGGAGAACATCGAGCTCAAATTCATCGACACCACCTCCAAGTTCGGCCGCGGCCGCTTCCAGACCGCCCAGGAGAAGCGGGCCTTCATGGTGAGCCTGACAGCTCGGTGTGGGCGCGGCACTGAGGAGCGCTGGGCCCACGGCTCTGGGCTGAGTCCCCCCAGCCGACCAACACTGCTCCTGCTGTCCCCCTGCCCAGGGTCCCCAGAAGAAGCATCTGGAGAAGGAAAAGTCGGAGCCCGCTGGAGAGCCGTAGGCAGAGTGGGGTGGAAGGCACCTGACAGCAGCTCCTTGGCCGGGAAGCGCTTCCCGTTTAATAAAGGCCTGAGGCCACTCTGACAGCCCTGTCTCGAGCTGGGGGCTCGCAGGGCCGGGTGGGCAGCGGGTGGCCGGGGGCTCCGCGCCAGGACCGGACCAGGCTGGAGCCAGGATCAGAGCAATCACGCGGGCCTGGAGGAGGGGCGGGGCCTCGCTGGGGAGGGCGTGGTCTCGGTGGTGGGGCGTGACCGACAGGCGGTGCCTCGAGTGGGCGGGGCCTTCGTGGGGCGGGCCGGGCCTCGGAGCTGAGGGAGCGGGGCACCCTCGAGACCCGGGGTGGGCCAGGAGCGCGGGCGTGGGACTGTGGATTCGGAGTGGGAGCGTGGGGCAGGGCCTCGGGGTAGGGTCATGGCGTCGGCGGGGCGTGGGGACGGGGCTCCGGACCGGGGGTGGGGCAGGGGCGGGCCACCGGCGTATGCCTGGCAGTCTGTTGGTGGGCGGGGCCTGCCGGGGGCTCGGGATAGGGCAGGCGCTCGGCAGGGGGCGGAGTCTCCTGGAGGCGGAAACCGGAACTCTCGTCTAGGGGAGCGATTGGCCCGTGGGCAGGGGCGGGGCCACGGGAGGCGGGCTCGCGGGAGTGCCGCGGCGTGCCTGGGCG